CTTCCGTTGCGGGTGTCAATGGGCGGCGCTGATTGCTTACCATCAGGTAATCCGTCTGCTCGTTTGCAGACCAATTACATAAAAAAAAGCTACGGCTGTGTGTCGTCAGTTACTCAGTCACCAGTAGCGAAAGACTTTTATAATACCTAACTCGTAAACAGCTAAAGTTGAAACATTTTAGCATAGAAGTGCTAGATTTTGTATCAGTTTGTACTGAAAATAACCACTTAGTAGTGGTTTTTACTTTTTATTAAGGAGTTTAAGACATTTTGTTCATAGAGATATTCATTCATAATATTTACCATATTTTCGTTACTCAAGACATGGTTTTTCATCTTCATACTTATATAGCTCTAAGTACCAGAAAAAAGAGGTCTTAAATAAAGTTCTATATTCAAAATTTGAGACGTGAGACGTAGCTAGCCAAAAAGAAATGTAATTTTTTTTTATTGCAAAGAAAGTGTCATTCGCCCTCTTTTTTTTTTGGTGTCTGTATAGATAGAATTTTCGAATATTGAAATTTATTGTTGGTATTTTTTCCTTTTTTTTTCATGCGGTAAAATCCTGAAGTGACTTCTTTAGGCCAGGGTTGTTCGAGAGGAAGTGTCAGACTATTACTGACTATAAACCAACACATTCCTTGTCCTGCTCCAGGCTGAGGCCGCGGTTCATAAGTGCACTTGCACCCTTCGTCACACATAATTCCAAAATGTTCAATGTCATGACAATAAGTTCACTAGGACATACAAATCGACAGACATATCGTGACCTGAATCCGCGACCGATGCAACCTAATTTCCTAGAAAGTCTAGAATAAACCTAGTCTTTTCAATGCACTGGTATAAAATTTGGCTGAACGTTTTCGTCTTAGGAGTTCTGTGTTAGCTGTGTGGTTTGATTCCATCGTTTTTCTTCTCATGGGTGTTAATTGAGCCGTCTAAGTTCAATGTAATAAGGGACACGCCTTTTACCAAACATAGGTTAGATTTTCTGGAAAAAATATTCATTATCAAATCGATTATACATGGTTTTATGATCACAGGAATCGATCTTTGCCACTTCAAATGCAATCTCACCTCAACAAACCTTAGACCATAGAGGAAATATCTAAAAAAAAAACTTTCATTAAAATACTAGGCTGAATGCTGACTACCTTCGCCATGATACCACGTGGTCGAAAAATCAATAGGTCGTTAGCCTACAAGTGTGAGCGAGAACATACGATGTGACGTCACATCCTCTGTCTCTTTCCACCGCAAGGTCGGCGGCTTCCCTCGAGGGTTATTTACTTTTCATTTTTTTTAATTCTTGGATTACTGTAGTGTTATACAGGGTGTATTTTTTGGAATAGACTTTGATACCAGCCTACGGTGACTTTGATACCTGATGGTAAGCTATCGGCACTGCTTATAGCTTATTTACAAGTGTGTTGCAGACATTTTCAAGATTTGGAGACTGGAGATTGGGGATAGGCAATAAACGTACTGAGCTCTATTTAAAGTTTGTCTGTTCATTCTTTTCTCGGGAAATGTTGTACTATTTTGGATAATGTCGCTGTCATTGATAGTGGGTTAGCAGTGAGAGTTATTTTTAATGAGACGGCAGTTAATTCTAAATAACTTACAAAGGTAACTTAATTGTTGACCTAGATTTTTTAGCAGTAATTATTAATTTAGCATTCTTTTAACAGTAAAAGTCATATTACTTATCGTGATTAGTAATTTAGTTCAATATTGTGTAAGACGAATTTAAAAAAAAAATGAAGTAAAGTTTTTTCAAGTGACACTTCTACCTACGAAGTTTGAAGAACGACTCCAAAGTTAAAGAAGACAATTTGGATTTGTGCCAATATAATATGTCGATTATATTTTACTGAAAAAAAAAAAAACTGATGAAGCGTCTCTGTTCTAATATTCTTGTCTATCTCGTTTTTCTGTTTATTTGCGCCAAAAAAAACAAGAAAAAAGTTCATAGCACTCCTTTGTGAAAACTAGGAACTGTGCCAATGTATATATCTATGTATACTAATATTATAAAGAGGTAAAATTTGTAAGTTTGTATGTAGGGGGTAATCTTTGGAACCGCTGGTCGGATTCACTGACAGAGCTACAATGTTCCTGAATGCTATAGGCTATAAAACATCACGCTACTGCTGATCAAGTGGAGCCGAGCAGCGGGAAACCGCGCAAGAGTAGCTAGTCAATTATATTTATACTGTAAAAAACTGATGATATGAAACATCCTTATACAAATACCCCTATTTTCTCTGTTCTTTTGACTACAAAAAAGAGAAGAAGTCTTAATTCAGCCTTCTTAGAAGGCTTGACTTAAATAACAGGTGGAATAATATTATTATGTAATATAATATCAATAACATAATCTTATCAATTTGTTTCACACATATGGACATACATAAATATATATCTTAACAATAATCTTTAAGGTGACCTTACATACATATATAATATATATATTTATCAATATTTATGCAACAGATAATTAGTTATAATGATGAAAGCATATGTAGTTGATGAGGTGGCTGGGTGCCACTTCCACACGGAGCGACATTGACATTCAGGGAATGAAAATATCGCAAGGGAATTTGGACTTATCACTGAAAATTTAAAGTCTTGTAATAATCTGATCTAAACATGAATTGAATTTAATGTAATGCTAGCTTTTGAAAAATAGTATTACCAGACGACTAAATTCTACCTATCTATTACTTATGTAAAACAAAAACAATATTTCTACAAACATCAGCCCTATAGGGCCCCGTCTGTGGTGGTCTATTGGCTCTTGGACGCAGTGACTGAATGACCGGTTGGTAAGAAAGAGGGTCGTGGCCTGAATTCCGAAATGGAACGGCTTTTTTGTCTGTTCCAAATAATTCTCAGATTTCTATAAGATAATATCAATGATAAATCTCAGATTTTTCTTTAAATCCGGGCTATTACCTATCTACATACGAATTTCCAACTCGTTAGTAATAGATAGGTAGAATTTAGTCGTCTGGTAATAAATACTATTTTTCAAAAGCTAGCATTACATTAAGTTCATTCACGTTTAGATAAGATTATTACAAGATTTCATAATAAGATAAAATAAATATAGCAAAAATATTTTTTTTTATCATAGCACTGGCTTTTGCCTACGACTCCGTTCGCGTGGAATAGTGACTTCCTCCAGATTTTTGGTATAAAAGCTATCCTATGTCCTTTCTCGAGCTCCAAACTATGTCTGTACCAAATTTCACAGAAATCGGTTCAGTTATTTAGGCGTAAAGAAAGGACAGACAGACAGAGTTACTTTTGAATTTATAATATTAGTTTGGATTGTGCCTTTTATTTCACAAGGGGGTCGGCAGAGGTGTGCATGTTTATTGTGACTTTTATTTTTTTCACTATTCAAATTGTATGACCTGTGTTAATGAAAGGGTTTATTATTGTCTATTATAATACACTATTTTAATCTGTTAATGAGATTTTTTGAAAATACCATAATCTTTCAAATAGCTCTTCTCTGTAATCGATTAGTAGCGATGGATAATTTATTTCATGGCCGGGGAATCGAACCTGGATGTATGTGTAATTCATTTATATTAAAAACAGCGGGATGATTAGTATTTCAACTTGTTTTGTTTTTGCCTACATTCAATTTGTATTATTGCGGTTGACAATATATTTTTCCCGGGTCAATGACCTTTTAACAGTTCAGTTCTGTGTCAGGTATATTGTTTTGATTAAACAAACTGTGATACTTGGTTCTTATTTTTAACTATTTTAGACATTTTGACTTTGATTTTAAAGGCTATTTTTGAAGAAATAATACTTTAAAAAAAATGTTTTTAATTATGCCATTTTTTAGTCTAATAAATCAGATATATTGTAAAAAAGTAGAGGTATATTTTTTTTTATAATTGCTAATGTGCATTTGGTTGCCTCATCGACAATCTAAGAGCTAGACTTGCAAAAAAACCAACCGAAAAAAAACTAAAAAACGAATCGTCTTTTTCGAACAGAAAAAAAGAACGAAATATTTGAATTTGAAACGTCGCCGGCGAAAAAATTCGCCAGGAAAGGCGGCGACGTAATATTGTTCAGTGATTCCACATTCAAAACTAGAGTTCAACAACTTTTCACCGAAATCTACTTTGTTTGGGTCCCGGGGTCAACGAACTGCGGTGACGCCTGTGTGCCAGTGTGCGCGCGCCGCTATATCCGTACACGCCACCGACGTACGCACACTAGCACACAACGCCTTGCGATCCGTTTGCACATTGATGGGCAATTTTGTCTCTTAATTGCACTGTAATTACACACGTTTCCGTATATTTGTTAGCCAGTTTCGGAGGTTCTACAGCCCTAATTGACGCATCTAAAGGAGTTTCCCTTAAAGATTAATATTGAAGGATTTTCTACTCGGTTCCTAGTCCGCGCCGCGCCGGGGCGACTGAACTATCGCTATGAGCTAAGTTGATTATTCGGTCGGAATGAAAAAATATATAATTTTTTCGTGAGCCTGGCCGAAGATTCGTCAATGCGTCAGTCACGTTCGGACCGCTCTGGCGTCAACATCTTTGGACCTGCCAGTTGCCGACGCGAACCCGAGTTGTGAACAACCAATAGTACAAATAAATAACGTACAAATTTTTCCAACAGTGAGGTGATCACGTATTGTTAATTTACAATAAGAAACAGTGACAGTGCCTTTCAGTGCAATACCCAAGGATTTTAATTTTCAATTGTTTTTGAAAATGGAACGTGGTGGCGAATAACGACTTCGAAAAATTTCAAATTTAAATCTTGTGTTCGACGTAAATTTGGATAACGGATTTTAGATAATTGAGCAGTATTGTTCGGTTAACTAAAATCTCGAATAATAATAATAACAACAAATTGGCATTTTTAAATATTTCTATTCGTTTCTAAATAATATTTTTAAATTCAAATAAATTCTTCTTCTGTTTCGGTTTTCTCTTTACAGATTTTTTTGTGTTCTCTCAATAATAATAAAGAGATATAAACAGTAGAATAAGGGAACAAGTGAATAATTACAATAAATATAATAGTGCCTTACTTAGATGTTTATTTAAGACGAACGGAAGAAAACAAAACATAATCACGGAGACAAAATGCCAAAAAATTTGTTGCTCTTCAAAAAGTTAATACCTGAATTAAACTTCGCTAAAAGAAATCTCACATCCCCGCTTGGCCGGAATATATTTATCAGTTAATCCCAAAAAAACTGGTGCTTAAAAATCAACAAAGTTGAAGAAACAATAAAAGCAAAAACAAACAAAAAAAAAATTGGGAGTGCCATAGTTTTTTCGAAGAAAAATTACTAATGGTTTAAAATAACACACACAAAAAAAAAAAACAAAATCAAAACAGTTGCCTTACCGACAAAGTCGAACAAAAAACATTTTTACAAAAAAGAAAACAAGAGAAGAAATTTGAAATCGATTGGAACACCAACCGCCTAGTGATAGTAGTGTCGAACGCAATGCGAATTCGATTCGCGCGCACACAAAATCATTGGCCGAAAGTGACTTAGAAGAAAAAAAACTTTTTGACAACTCAAGAAAAAGAGGAAATTAACACGGAGAAAAATTCAAAGATCTTTGAAATCATGAATAGCAATCAGTTCCACGATTTGTTTGGATCGCAGTGGCCCCCAGATCAGCACGGAGGTCACTCGTCGGCCTCCACTATGCTGCACCAATCCCAGGGTTTGCCACAAGGCATGCAGTTGAAGAGAGAGCCCCATACTGATGTCCAGCCGGTCATGCACAATCCGATGGGCATGGATATTACTTCAGGGTCTGTGGCGGACAGCACATCACCTCCGCCTGGTAGCAGTGACGGAATGTTTGGATCATCAATGCCTGGCATGTTTATGGATAAGAAAGGACCTAATTCCATACGAGGTATTTACCTTTTTTTTTCTTTTTAAATAAATTTAATTTCGATTTGAAACCTTTTTCCTTTAGGTACATATAGTTCGATAATTTAAAATTCAAATTTTCATTCTCTGCGTTCGTTTCCTGCTATACAATTTTATTCTAAATGTGGTTAATTTAATTTTAGTTTGTCAGTAATGAATGCATTTATTTAGGTACTAAGTTTTTTCTTGATAGGTACCTATTGCAAATATGGTTCACACTATCAATTATTTAATGGTTTGTTTGTTGAAGCAAAGTGCATATAAGACTGATATTTTATTATAAATATAAATTTTATTTGAAGTATTTAGTGGACTTTTTGGAGGAAAAAATTATAAACATCTACTGAAGTTCGTAGATACTTGACCTATGATGTATTAGAATTTATTTTCCTAGTAATGCATTATCGCGAATCCATGATGTCACAGATAAAGTGTGCTGGTAGTAAAAGTGATATAAATACGTATTTAAGTGATAAACGCCTTTGCAAATTAATATGAAAATAAAATGATCATTAACCGAACCAAAAAGAAAACAAATGCCTTGAAAACAAAAAAAAAACTAATACAGCTGTCATGTCCAAATGACATCGATTCAAATTTAGAATTCGAGGATGCACTTAACCTTTACCAAAATTAGGGCGTTAAATTCCTGAGAAGAGATTGTTTCTACAATTATATCAAATTGAATTCTGTAAGCAGGTTGCTATGGTTGTAATTGGTGTACTACAAATCGACACTTGGGCCTATTTTGTACAGGTCAACTGAAGGTCAATTTCAGATGATCTAATTGCCAAACTTACAAGGCTAAGAAGATCTTTTGATCCACTTTCTTGCCAAGAATTAAGGAATAATTGAGACTGATAAAATAATAATCCGAATATAAAAATAGAAAAGTGTTAATGGTGACTAAGTGAAAATGACTCGGCCTATCTCTTTGCTAAAACATGACCAAATACACTGGACATATATTAATTTGAAACTACTTAAGTGTTGTGACCTAAATTTGTTGTACTTTAAAACATAATTATTAACAAAACCAATGCATTTATCTATTGCCCCGAATTGCATTTAAATTGTTTTTGCCCTAAATTTTTAATTTCCGCAATTAAAAGACTTCTGTCTTTGTCCCTTACACTATTTATTATCTGTGTTAATTGTCATTGCATTTAGGTTAATAAACTCCAAAAAAAAAAAAAAAAAAAAACATTTAGGTTAATGCGTCAAAAGTTGACGTAGGTATGTCACTTTCTGCTTCACTTTAGACTTTTATGTGTTGTAATTATGTCTATTTTTCACTTAAGACATTATAATTGGTTTAAATGGTAAAAAAATATATTTCATAGTCTTTATTTTAACATACGCAGTCAAAGTAACACTAAATACCTCCAAAGTTTTCTTAAAGACAAAAAAAACTGAGTTACTTAATATTAGAACCTCTTTACAACCAAAGGAAGGCCCACAAACAAAGCACAACAGAAAACTAACAGTGCTCTTGCAAGCCATTAAATGAATAGAAAAAAATAAACAATTACTACGCAAGTCAAAGTGCAGGTTGGTGTCATTGACCCCGTCGAAAACTGACACGTGGAGAGGGCAATGCATAGAAAAACGTCGTAAGCGACTATGAGGCTATGTATTCTTTGCGTAATATAGTGTAGATTAATTGTGTCTTTTTATTGATGGAATGTCAATTTTGAATGTAATTTGGGTAACAGGTTTTTTAGTGTGTATTTAGTTCATTTTGTATGAAAGTAGGCTTGTGTTTTTTGTTTTCTAATCCTATTTATTATGTCAAAATTTTCTTTATAATTATGAATTTGTGTCAGTAATATAAAGTATTTAGTCACGAAGATGTTGTTGAAAGTTCTAGAATTGTCTAAAAAAGACTAGATTACTGTCTAACTAACACACTAAATGAAACCAAATCAAGACTATAAGTAAAAAACACTGAAAAACGTTACTCCCACGGAAAACGGACAATTTAAATTCATTTAGATGTAATTTTTTAAGTCCAATTGTCATTACTCATTTCTGTCGGAATGGCGCAATAGAGAACAATTTTGGGGTTGTCATCCGGCGTGGAATTGGCCTCATCTGAGAGTTCAAGGCCATTGCCCGTTAATTTCATGATACGTTCACCTCTTAAAGGTCTTCATCTCACTAGACTCTTTATTTCTGGCTGTATGAAACATTGTGTCACGCACGTGACGCGTAACAAAAAAAAACAATAAAACGACTTCACGTCTACAGTTTTGTTTAAAAAAAATACTGTCAAAAGTGACAGTTCGATAAGAAAAAGTTTGCATTACAAAGCTCGGTTATCGTCATTCGTTATTTGAAATAATAGAATGAACGGAATTAGAAAGAAAAGCGACGTTTCATTCACACAATAAAATACAACTCGATTTTATTATAGCTTATTGATTTTTCGCTCGGTGAAAATTTCCACGAGCACGGTATAGGCACGAATTGTGGGTGGAGCGCCGAAATAGCCTTCCCACATTAAGCTTATAAGTCCCAATTTAATTATAATACCTTAATTATCAAGGATACAGCCACAGAAAGTAGATTAGAATTGGCCGAATGGAAAAAAAATAACTGTCAAAACGTTTCAAAAATAGAACCATACTTGTGGTCGTCGACCCGTGACGTCATGTGACGTTTGCTGTCACTTTTATTTTAGGGCGCGTTCAAATTGAATGGTTTCGTTAGCATACTTAACAAATTAATTAAATTCCCAAACTTAATTGTTTTTTACTTCGCGGGGGTTATGCGGTGTGAGGTTCTATAGAGTTATTTGTGTAATTCGTTTAATTTCCTTTTCCCTTTCGTTTTTATATTGAGAATTTAAGAGGTCAAGCTACTTATTATAATTAAGGTTTCACTTTTGTTTTCGAAAAGTAAAACCTTCGTTGAAACAACTTTGGAATGAGATTTTATTGACGTCTAAACCATTCGAAATTTGAATATTTGATTGTAGTTTTTCTTCAATAATACAGCCAGTACCTTTCTTCTTCATACCAATTTATTACCACTTGAAAGCTAACGGACATACACTTGAACTGTTTATATTAGATATTGTAAAAAGATTCATATTACGAACTAACCAGAATTAGTTTGAAAGATGAAACTATTATAACATAATATTTAACTATACAGTAAAGCATTTTGTTATGTTAATACAGCCAGTCTTTTTTAAAAAGCTATGTCTAGAGTTCAACAAAGAGGTCTTTATTGCAAAGAAGTCTTTAATGGTAAATGAAAAAATATGATTTACCGCATCACCGTTCGATTTTTGAAGATACTTTTTTTGATAACGTTTTCCGTCTTATTATTTGGACTTTTATGACATTTGGATATTGTCTTTCTGTCTGTCTACAGATTAATATAGATTTTTATATACACATATTTTATACAAGTCTATGCAGCAGTTTTGTACTCTAGTGTGTCTGCAAGCGAAATTATGGTTTCACAATAAATAGCATTAAATTCCTTATTACTAAGCCAAGCCCATCACAAAAATGATTCATTAACTTACTTATAAATTACTTAGTCATGATTTCTTTCAAATGCAAACAGTTCAATAACCTGTGACAGACAGAAAAATATAATTGTCATACTCGCACAAGTTTCCGCCATATTGGAAAAATGGCGGGAACAGTTGCTTCAGAATTCCATAGTAAAAATTTTATTTTTGAAGAAAAAAAATATGTGATATACTTTTTTGTTAAAATTTATTTTATCTAAAATTCTCATTGATCTTATTATACATAACGCTTGGCTAAAACATGGCTTTTGACGTTTCTTTTTTTTCCTTAATGACGTTATAGGCTGAATGATGTTGCAACAGCCAGAAACGTCATTGACCTGTCATTAGTCATGTGACGTCATTTTGGGTGATTATATCAGTTTTTACGAAAGAAAGTATTAGTTTACGCATTTTGTTGAGATCTAGTTCATTGATAAGTATGTTTTATTGTTCTTGCTATCGTATTTTACCCGTCTAGCCGTCTGGGCCCTATCAGGAGATAGGCTTTCTAATTTCGCGTGGGTGCTATCACCAAAAATATCTTTTTAGGACATTTCTTTTATACTAGACTACACTTCCTGTCATACCACGATGATTTTATTTTGCTTTACATTTATATTTGAGATGAAATTTGTTCTTTTAGTTCATACTTAAAAAGTGACAGATGAAAACGTCAGTTCACGGCGGATCAACAATCCAATTTAAAAATATCTCTCATTTAAAACAACTACAACCTTATCAGAGATCAACACGAATTTGTCGTTATAACGGTCCACTAACCATTGTAAATTGATCTATCTACACAAAAATTTCTTTCACAAACAAAGGTCAACCGTAAACTGGTTTCGCCTAAATATAAAATGAAAAGCACGCGGTGTATTCAGGTCATTGGCCCGTGATGTCACTCGCGTCACAAAACGTAGGTAATTCAAAAACGTTAACGCGCCCATCCGCGTTACGTGTATGAATTTGCGATACAATCTGTAATGCGGTTTGCGTTTGACCGATATCGGTCATTGCCTTGACTTGATAGTGATTCACTGTTGTGATATATTTTTTTTGTAACCTTGGACTTACGAAAAATATGTTTGCACGTTTTAAATACCTATCGATAATCGGCCATACATTTTTAAAATGTAGTTCTATTTTCAAATAAATAAATGTTTTTATTATAAATAGTCTTTAACAATCCTGTTTTTTATTTCGTTTCTATTTTTAAATTAGAATACTATTATAATTTTAATTTAAATTTAAAAGAGGTTAATTATTTCAAATTTACATTTAAACATATTGAGCCTCTTGAGAACCAAAACTGGGCAAAAATATTAAATAAAAATCTAATGAAAATTATAATATTGTAATCTAAAGAAAATTATCTATTATCTATAGGGATTTTTTTGTAGGGCTGGTTTCGATCCCGTTTTAGGCTATTGTTTTTCCAAATAACAGTTATC